TAATATATTATTATACAACAATATATTAATACATTTTATAACACTTTAATTTTTTTTCTTTTTTCTTCTTTTTTCTCTTTTTTCTAATTTTTTTTTCTTTTTTTTTTTTCTCTTTTTTCTAATTTTTTTTTTTTTTTTTTTTTTTTTGAATAAGATTATCGAACGATCCTATTAAATTAAAAATCTATAATCATCATATTAAATATAAATTAATTGAATTTATTTAATCATATCAAAATCTATATATAAGATCACCTTTTTTTTTTGTTTTGGTTTTTAAATGAAAAGAAAAATTACTATATTTAAATTTTATATATTCTAACATTTATATGATAATATCAAAATGTATCATGCGCATTAATAAATATAGATTTCTAATAATAGTAATGTGAACAGATAACAATAACAACAACGATAATGTTATCTTTGATTAATTTGTAACGTGTAAGACTCTCTCTCTTGCTATATATATACACACACACACACACACACACACTATATACACATGTATATTGTATATATATAAAGTATATCTATATTAAATCATGCTATACATAAAACAAGTACACATTATCACATAAATGTAGTTCTACACACACACACACACACACACACACACACACACACACACACACACACACACACACACACACACACACACACACACACACACACACACATATATATATATATATATATATATATATATATATATATATATATATATATATGTATATGTATATATATACATAGTGTATATTTTTTGATACGTGCGCGTGTATTAAACCTTGATGGCTATCCTCGAAGTTACGCACAGTATAGGAGTCGGGAGAGAGAATCTCGAGGACAGCTATCGATTCCAAGAGAATCGCTCCGCCCCCAAGAAACACCCTTCGCTACTGGTGTTCTGCTTGTTTGCTTCCTTCCTTGCTTTGCTTGCTTGCTTGCTTCTTTCTTTGCTCTTGCTCTTTCCAAGAGAGCACTACTATTGCCAAAAACATGGCTTACTTGAAAGTGTATACGTGAGCTTCAGTAAAAAAAAATACACGTATACACATACCCACACACACGCACACACGCACACATACATACATACATACATACATACATACATACATTATATATATATTTCAATCTCCTTCTTTACTAAGAGAAGAGAAGAGAAGAGAGAGAGAGTGAGAGAGAGAGAGAGAGAGAGAGAGAGAGAGAGAGAGAGAGAGAGAGATATAGAAGGCTTTAGAAGGATGTGAAGCATTCTCTTAGCAACTACGTTCCTTGTCGTACGTCATCATGGAAAAGGAATGGACTGCCAGTGCGTTGTAGTTTATACGGTGATATCGCCTTCGACTTCAATTCCACCATTTTTTCCTGTAAGGAGATTAGAAAGGAGTCTATCTCGATCGACTAATCAAGTTACTGGATGTACTTCCTGGATTAAACATTGGGTTAAAAGGTTTCTCTTTATCTCCTCATCGTTTTCTCCCTCTTTTATATTTTCATTATTATTATTATTATTATTATTATTATTATTATTATTATTATTTTTATTATTATTATTGTCATTGTTATTATTATTATAGGATCGTTAGAGTGCTTAGTTTAAATAGTGAATTGAGAAGACACGTGTTTTCTAATCGCGTCTATGCACCCGTGTTAGATTAGATTAGAGACAGAGATAGAGATAGAGAGTGAGAGTGAGAGTGAGAAAGTCATATATGCATATTAAATATATAGGGAAAGGGATAATATTAATTTTCTTCTTCCTTTTTTTTTTTTTTCTTTTTATCGTTTTTCTCCTCGTATTTCTATATCAAGACTTCATAAATCGTAATGGCTGAGTCTACGTAGGTGTGGGATTTATTTTTTCAAGGTCACATAGTTAGGGATCTTTTTTTTTTTCTTTTTTTTTTTTCTTTTTTCTTTTTTACACGTTTTTAAGGATCGTTTGGTGCGTCTGTCTGTATGTGAGTGTGTCTATATACATATGTATATATATATTTTTTTTATTCTTATTTTACAGAGCTGTCGCTGCCTATTTACGTGCATTGAATCTCAGTCCAAATAATGCCGTCGTACATGGAAACTTGGCGTGCGTTTATTATGAACAAGGGTACGTGTCCATTCGAGGTTTATTTAATTTTTATTAATATAAATCAATTAATAATTAAATCAATAAATTACATTCTCAATATTATAGTAGTATCATAAATTAAATATAATTAGATACTTTATTGAGAAAAACGTTCATTAAGCGAATTTTCTATCTAATGAACGAACAAAAGGATATTTATATTTTTGAAAATTGCAGTCTCATCGATCTTGCAATTGACACTTATCGTCGTGCCATCGAGCTACAGCCAAATTTCCCGGATGCCTATTGCAATTTGGCGAACGCTCTCAAAGAGAAGGGGCAAGTGGTCGAGGCCGAAGAATGTTATAATACCGCCCTCCGACTTTGTCCAACACATGCCGATTCTCTCAATAATTTGGTATATATATTTGATTTGAACAAAATTTTTAAGCGTAGGTGATTATGAATGTGGCATTTTCATTTAATTCTAAAATATTGGATGATAATGTTCTAAGGACATTAACAATTTTTTTTTTTTTAATTATCTAAAGGGAATAATTATATTCTTTCGATAATTCAATAATACATACTATAATACTTAAACATTTTTTTTTTCTTTTTTTTTTTTTTATCAATTGAAATACTACAGGGATTTAGTTTGTTGTTATATAATGGAAAAAATAATATTTAAAACGTTTCTTTATTGCGACACGTAGTTGTAAATTTTATTTATCCATTAAAGATACAGATACAAATTAAAAAAATTTATTAATTAATAAAAATAATTCAAATTCAAATGTTACAATAGTTCAAAACTTATAATATATTTATACGTGATTTAATAGTTGTATCACTTTCATAATCATCAGCTCTGTCGTTTTATACATTTTCTAATTAATAATAATTTAAGATTACCTTTAACAATAGTTTTGCTTTTTCTTTACAATGACATATTATATTTTTTTCTATATAATATATATTTATATATATATGTATATATATATATATATATATATATATATATATGTATAAATATTAGGTTGGAAACTATGAAACGGACGTTTTTGTTTAGTTTTTTTTTTTTTAAATTTTCATTCAATGCCCGTTTCATAGTTTCCAACCTAATAATTTTATTTATGTAAAGATTTATTTAATTTCTTTATATTATAGGCCAACATAAAACGCGAGCAAGGATATATCGAAGAAGCTACGCGACTTTATTTGAAGGCTCTCGAAGTATTTCCAGAGTTTGCTGCCGCACATAGCAATCTTGCATCAGTATTACAACAACAAGGAAAGTTAAACGAAGCACTAATGCATTACAAGGAAGCGATTCGCATACAGCCAACATTTGCAGATGCTTATTCGAATATGGGTAATACCCTTAAGGAGATGCAAGATATACAAGGTGCCCTTCAATGTTATACAAGGGCAATACAAATAAATCCTGCTTTTGCCGATGCTCATTCCAACTTGGCTTCAATCCATAAGGATTCCGGGAATATTCCTGAAGCTATACAGTCATACAGAACGGCATTAAAACTTAAACCAGACTTTCCCGATGCTTATTGTAATTTGGCACACTGTCTTCAAATTGTATGCGATTGGACCGATTACGAAGCTAGGATGAAAAAACTTGTTTCGATCGTTGCCGAACAACTTGATAAAAATAGATTACCTAGCGTACATCCTCATCATTCGATGCTCTATCCATTGTCTCATGATTTTCGAAAAGCCATTGCTGCTAGGCATGCCAATCTCTGTATTGAAAAGGTATAGTATTATTATTATTATTATTATTATTATTTTTTTTTTTTTTTTTTTTTTTTTTTTTTTTTTTTTTTTTTTTTTTTTTTTTTTTTTTTTTTTTACGTTGTCCTTCACAAATGATAAATAATAAATTGTCAATCAATTGAAATACACACGGTGTATTAAAATTGTTCCCAGCTGAAAACAATAATTCTTTAAAAATTTGTTATGCTTTTTATATATAGAAATAATAAAATTATACAAGCCAATTGGATTTTTAAAATTATGTAAAAACTTTTTTGATTCCTACTCTCTTATGTCATTGTCTGTTAATAGTGTATACATACATATATATATACGTACGTACATATATATTTATAATATTATATGTAATTAATTTTTTTTTTTTTTTGTTTATTTTCTTTAATTACAGATCCATGTTCTACATAAACAACCATACAAATATCCACGGGAAGTTAGCGCACGTTTGAAAGTTGGTTACGTTTCATCAGATTTTGGAAATCATCCGACAAGTCATTTAATGCAATCGATTCCTGGCCTTCACGATCGTTCGAACGTTGAGATTTTTTGTTATGCATTGAGTGCCGACGACGGGACAACATTCCGAGCAAAAATTGCCAGAGAGGCTGAACATTTTGTTGATCTATCACAGACACCGTGCAATGGAAAGGCCGCCGATCGTATTAACGCCGATGGTATTCATATACTCGTTAACATGAATGGTTACACGAAAGGAGCAAGAAATGAGATCTTTGCTTTGAGACCAGCACCTATTCAGGTTATGTGGCTTGGTTATCCTGGTACATCTGGCGCTAGTTTCATGGATTATTTAATCACCGACGAGGTTACATCTCCTCTCGAACTTGCTACTCAATATAGTGAGAAACTAGCTTATATGCCACACACGTATTTTATTGGAGATCACAAGTAAGTATCTATCTATCTATCTATTTATCTTTTATCTCTATCTCTATCTCGAATTATTATCTAATTAGAATATACTTTTATACAAGATTGATTAAAAGTTCCTAGATGATTTCTTTTTTTTTTTTTTTTTTTTTTATTATATATAAATCAATTACTAGTTTCTTTCGTGATATTTTGGCCTTGTATGTTGACAAATTAAATTCATAATTTTTTTTTACAATTTGGAAAGAAATTAATTTGAGAAAATTAATAAAAAAAAACATATAAGATAAAGTAAGATGAAGAAATGATTTAAAAAAAAGAAAAAAAATCCCTAGGTTCTTCTTTTGGCCCCCTCCCGAGCTTTACAATTTTTATGAAACATATTCTATCATGATTTGTTATTTTTATTTTATTTTATTTTTTTTTTTTTTTTTTTTTTTTTTTTATCTTTTCTCTCATAGACAAATGTTCCCACATCTGAAGGAACGTCTCATTTTAACGGACAAACTAAATCCAAAAGGCAAAGTGGCAGATAATGTGGCTGTTATTAATGCTACCGATTTGTCGCCGATGATTGAAAATACATTGGTGAAGGAAATCCGCGAGGTTGTGGTGCCAGATGCGAAAAACAAACCCGTTGAAATTTCATTGAAAGTAGCCGAATTACCAACAACTACTCCCATTGAGACGATGATAGCTTCTGGTCAATGTCAGATGTCTGTAAATGGTGTTGTAGTACAGAACGGTATGGCGACGACCCAAGTCAACAACAAAACTGCCACGGGCGAGGAAGTGCCTCAGAACATTGTCATTACTACGAGACAACAATATGGTTTACCGGAAGATGCAGTTGTTTATTGCAATTTTAATCAATTGTACAAGATCGATCCTCTTACTCTTCACATGTGGGCGCACGTAAGTTCTCAAGCAAACAAGCAAAAAAATAAAAAAATAAAATTAATATTAATCGATTAATTTTTTTCAAATCAATAATACGTATGACATAGTATTTAAAAAATATTTATATATATATATGTATATTTCTTTTTTTTTTTGTTCTGTTTTAATTATAGATTTTAAAGAATGTACCAAATTCAGTACTTTGGCTGTTGAGATTCCCAGCAGTTGGTGAACCTAATCTTCAAGCGACAGCACAACAATTAGGTCTCGCTCCTGGTAGGATATTATTCAGTAACGTTGCTGCTAAAGAAGAACACGTTAGGCGCGGTCAATTGGCCGACGTTTGTTTAGATACACCATTATGTAATGGACATACCACAAGTATGGACGTACTTTGGACTGGTACGCCTGTTGTTACGTTGCCTGGAGAAACATTGGCATCTCGTGTCGCTGCTAGCCAATTAAATACACTTGGTTGTCCTGAATTAGTAGCTAGGACGAGACAGGAATATCAAGAAATTGCTATACGGTTGGGAACCGATCGAGAATAGTACGTATTATTATAAATAATATAATGTTTAGCACAGAAAATACAGAACACACATACACACACACACAGGTGCATATAATTGTTAAAAATTTTTAGATGATTTTAAATATCAATTATTTTTATTGTAGAGATTTTTTTTTTAGGCTAATTTCTTAGACTATTTTTTTTATATTAGTAAACAAGTTTCTAAACAACGTTTCATTTTTTTTTTATTTTATTTTTTTTTTTTTTCTCTTTTCTCTGAAGTAAGAAAGAAATAAAAAGAAGCCATGAAAAGTGGTTTCGACAAAAAATAGAAATAATTAATATTTAAAATTATGTAGGAATTATTGGCCGATTTTTTTATATGTCGAATTTTTTTACACCTTATTCAAAAAACAAAAAAAAATCCTTTGATATTTCTTTTTATATTTTCAGCTTGAAAGCGACACGTGCGAAGGTATGGAAGGCACGTTCAGAAAGTCCATTATTCAATTGCGAATTATATGCAATGGGTATGGAAATGTTATATAAAAAAATGTGGGAACGTTTTGCTCGAGGAGAAAAACCGGATCATGTGGCAGCCATTGACAAATCGGAAAGTCAAAAGTGATTCAACGATTTTGAATATAATATTATTTTACGTTTATTAGAAATCACACATTTACAAGATTATTATATTATTGAGTTGTACAACTGCTGCTCCTCTCTCTCTCTCTCTCTCTTTCTCTCATTTTTCTTTTCTTTCTCTCTCACTCTCTCTCTCTCTCTCTCTCTTTTCTATTTCTTTTTCAAAAACCATTATTTGCGATTCGATCGTTCTACATCTCATTATTGTAATAACAATTCCATCTAATTATTTTCCAACAATGTTTCTTCGTATCTCAAATATCTATGATAAAATATTTTGTACGGATAAATCATAAAGGATAAATAAGATCGATAGTTACATCCACGTGATGACTATGACGATGATTATGATGATGATTATGATGATAATAATGATGACGAAGATGATGATGCTGATGATGGTGATGATAATGATGATAATAATGATGATGATGATTGATGATGATGATGATGATGATGATGATGATGATGATGATGATGATGATGATGATGATGCTGCAGTTCGTGTTTTATCGCCCAAGTGAGAAAGTGTTTTAGAAAATCCTCTCTATGTAATTCTGTGATCAGAAGTGGTTACATAACGATGGTTAAACAAATCATGAGCTGTTGTGTTAAAGCAATCTCATATATAATATACATATATATATGTATGCATACATACATACATACATACATACATACATACATATATACATACATATATACATACATATATACATCATATATACATACATATATACATACATATATACATACATATATACATACATATATACATACATATATACATACATATATACATACATATATACATACATAGATACAAACATAGATACAAACATACATACATAATATACATATACATGCATACATACATACATATATACATACATAGATATATACATATACATAGATAAATACATAAATACACATACCCCATTAATCACAATATATCTTTCTATTTCCAATATGTGATGTATTTCGTTTTTTGAAATACCATATGTGTACGTGTGTGATGAGTGTGATATTAACATAGAAGAATCGAAGTCATTTTCTCAAGAAGAAGAAGAAGAAGAAACGAATTTGTATTTATAGAGAACGCGCATCATATGTTCCTCTTTTCTCTTATATTTTTTTCATTTTCATTTTCTTTTATCTCTTTTTTTTTCTTTTTATGAACTAAACAAGCAGACAGACAGACAGACAGACAGACAGACAGATAGACAGACAGGCAGACAAACAAATAAACTAATAGCTGTATTTTATTAATGTCGTGTATCTTCATGGAACTCCCATCCAAAACAAAAAAAAAAAAAAAAAAAAAAGAAAAGCAAAAAAAAAAAAAAAAGAAAAAAAGGTTGACACGGTATATCATCCACATGGTGGTTTTTCACTCATTTTCTTTTTGGTCTCTTGTGTCGCAGGCCACATCTTACATTCTTCTTCATCTTTTTTTTTTATTTCCATTTTTTCTTTTTTTTTTTTTTTCTTTTTTTTTTCTTTTGCCCTTTAAAATATGATCTGTAATAATAATACGTGGGATTCGATGATTATGATTATTATTAATGATCTATATAGATCTTTGGACGCAATCGTTTTTGACTAGATATTTACTTTTGTATATTAAAAATGCAACTCAAGTGAAGTTCCTTATATTTTTCATTTTGATTCAAACGTCGTTGTTTATAAAAATGGGAAAGGTGAACTTTTGCAAAAAGGAAAGAAGAAAATAATGAATAAGTAAAAAAAAAAGAAAACAAGTACTCGAACTATATATACACACACAAACACATATATATATATACATGTATATATATATATATATATATATATATATATATATATATATATATGAATAGCGAGATAGTGAGAATTGGAGTTGAAAGCATGAGTTGTACGGAGGTATTACAATGATTATTATTATTATTAATTAATTAATTATATTATATTATTATTATTATTATTATATAATAATTATTTTATTACTATTATTATTATTGTTATTATTATCATAATATATTGATAGCATATAAGCATTTGCGAAGGTAAAAAGAAAAACGATAGAATTGTATCATAATAAGCGGCTAAAATAATGATTGTGTAAATATATTAAAAAGAAAAAAAAAAAAAAAAAAAGAAAAAAAGAAAAAAGGACAAAAAAAATTATAGTTATTATTTCAACTCGTGAATAATGGATTATAACGTAGAATATGGAATTATAAGTCGATAAAAATGTGTGAGTTAGTTATAAAGGAGCCTGTTGTGTTGTCTCTTGGTATTAACTATATATAGGAAACGAAAATGGAAGAAAAGAAAAAAAGACATTTAAGAAAAAGTCGATGTACGTCTAGAGACTTTAGAGAATAAAAAGAAAGCTCTCTCAATATGCAGATAATTATTTATCAAATACATTCACTAATTATTCTTCGTGAATTTCTTTTTTCTTTCTAATAATAATTAACGTAATTTATCTTCTAATACGTATAATTTACGAAAGTTTTTATATATCCAATGGAATACTCAAAAAAAGTTTTTTTTTTCTTTTTTCAATTTAACTATCGACCCGTAATTAATAGTACGACAATAAAATCGTTAATTGGCTTTCAAATAAAATTATGGTGATTATACAATTGACATATGGACGATTAATTAATTCATATATATATATATATGTATATGTATGAATGAATGAATGTATGAATGAAAAATAATATATTCATATTTATACGAGAAAAAAAATATTTATAACATACAGATAATATACATACATACATACACCAAATGAATAACAACATAAAAATAAGTATCTTATATATATATATATATCTACATGTTAAAAAATGTCTAGCAATATTCGTAAAAAAAAAAAAAAAAAAAAAAAAGAAAAAAAAAACAAACAAACAAGAAAACTTAGGAATGTCTTTCTTTCTCTCTTATGTACTCTTAGGTTTTTTATTATCTTGTTCCGTAACCACTGTCTTTTTATTATCATTCTTTGATTGTTCAATAATCTTATCGACGAAATCGAATATATCATTTGCTAATATAATAGGTTCTTCCATGGCTGCGAAATGACCACCACCGGGCATAAAATTGTATTGAATCAAATTTAAATATCTCGTACGAAGACTTTTTTCTAGAGTGTAGGTAACTTCGTGAGGAAATATGGCACAGGCTGATGGTACGTCGATTGGTAATCTATATAACAATAATTATATATTTATTTATATACTGTTTTTTTTTTTTTTTTTTTTTTTTTTTTTTTTTTTTTTTTTTTTTTTTTTTTTTTTTTTTTTTTTTTTTTTTTTTTTTTTTTTTTTTCTTCCTTAATGGGCTATATACTATAACATATTAATTATGATTTCGCATTGTAAACTTACCCATCTATATTTAAATCTCTATAATTGTTTGTAAATTGTTCAGCATAAAGACGTGCACTGGTTGTTATGGAATCGGTCACCCAATATAACATGACGTTATCCAAAAGTTCATCGATAGTAAATTTTTCAAGTAGTCCACCGTCTTTTCTAGTTTTATATTCGGGATTCGTCCATGTATTAAATTTTTCGAGTATGTATCCTGCCAATGATATTGGTGAATTCGTCAATGCAAGACCTGTATAATGAAATTAAAAAGGACAAAATTATTTAGTGAAACTATGATTTTTTTTTTTTCTATTTTTTTCATTTTTAAATAATCTTCAAAATTTATATATATATATAATATATACCGATTGTGTCTGGCTTGGTAGCTTGTAAATGCAAATATCCAGTTTCCTCCATTATTAGATAAAACATATTTTTTAATGGATACAATTTATGTTCATATTGTTTCTCAGTAACGAGGGAAGGAAAAAACATTCCGAAAATATACCAAAAGTTTAATGGATTATTATGAACGCACATGTTTAAGTGCAATCCTAAGATTCTGCATAGAAATAAAAAGAGATGGATAAAGGCGATAATTCTTTTACAAAATTAAAAAAAGAAGAATTTCATTACTTTTCTGGATAAAGAGCAGCCATTGAAGAAGTTATAAAAGCACCCCAGTCACCTCCTTGAACATAATATTTTTCGAAGCCTAATCTTGCCATGAGATTCTTAAAGATAATACCCATCTAAAAATAAGAATATGATTAACATGATGGATAATTGATATAATAATTCTTATATATATATATATATAAAATAAATGTATTATACATGAGCTGGCGCTAATCCAGGACGAACAGCAGCATCACTGAAACCATAACCAGGTAAAGATGGAATGACAAGTTCAAAGACAAAATTTTTGTTTGGTCTGGTTGTTGTTAACAAAGGAATGATCTTTTGAAATTCAACCACAGAACCAGGCCAACCATGGACTAAAAGTAACGGTAAAACTTTGATCTTTTTATCCTTTGGAAGATTCGACGGTTTAACGTGATAAAAATGAATGTCGAGACCTGTAAAAGTAAATTATATAATCTAAAGAAATTAATCATTGAAATAGTATGAAAGATCCTTGAAATGATCTAGGTTTAACAGTCATAAGACAAACTGGAGTGAATTATAACGGAAAGGTAACGATAATAAAACACGTTTGATGATCGCAAGTAATCTTGCAATAACTTATAACGATAGGACAAAGACCCTAACCGATCTGTTCGATCTATTTTAACGACGTAAAACAAAATAAAAAGTTACACTTTAGACTCTACTCGTGAGCTTTTTAGTCTTACTTCGAACATACCAAGCCTTACGATCGTAAGATGGTATTTGAGAATCGAATATGAATAGTTTTTTATTTTATTATTTTCTTTTTTTTTTTTTTATATTACAAAGAACAGTAATCGCCATGATCTTCTTACGGTACCTTGGATGTTTGTTACGAATTGTGGATATTTATTCAGAAGAGATTGTCTCTCGGTCCAATTATATTTATTATGCCAATATGTAATAATTTTTTTTAAATAAGGAGCTGGAAGACCATAAGTCCATGCGGTACCTTCCAATGGTTCTACGTCCAATCTTGGATTTTCCAGACGTTTATTTAAATCATCGATGACCTATGATGATAGAGAAAAAAATAAATAATAAAATAATTATTCAAAAATATATGAGAAATAGAAAGAGAGAGGAGAGAGAGAGAGGGAGGGAGAGAAAGAGAGAGAGAGGAGAGAGAGAGGGACAGAGGGAGAGAGAGGGAGAGAGGAGAGAGAGAGGAGAGATAGGAAGAGAGAGAGAGAGGGAGAGGGAGAGAGGTGAGAGAGGAAAAGAGAGAGAGAAGAGAGAGGAGAGAGAGGAAGAGAGAGAGAGAAGAGAGAGGAGAGAGAGGAAGAAAATGTGACAGAATGAATTATATCAAGGAAATTTTATATCGATGATTTAAGTTTTGAAAAAACAAACCAACAAAAAAATTATAACAAAAAAATTAGCTTATGTAAATTTGCATACGTATGCATTTTAATTATATTCCGAGTTGGTTATCTTAAAAAAACTAGAAGAGTCATGTTACTCTTAAGCGACATTTTTAATGAGCGCTTAAATAATTATTACTTTGGTAATAATCGAATCACGAGATCTTTGATTTCTCTATTTATATATAATATAAATCATTGATCTAGTTTATATATGTGTGTGTGTGTGTATTTATATGTATATATTCTTTTT